TTTTAGTTTAACTTGAAGTACTAAAATAACTGACACTAAATAAATAATAAATACTATATAGGCATTAAAAAAAAACGACAAAAACACAGCAAAATGACTAAGAATGAAAACAGAAAATAATGAATACATAAAATAAATTAAACCTACATAGTAATATTTAAAACACAAAAACTAATAAAATAACATGACAAAAATACTAAACTTTAAACTAAAATGAAAACAGAAAATAATAAATAAATTAAATAAATAAATAAACCTAAATAGTAATATTTAAAACACGAAAACACAACAAAATTACTAAAAATTTATCTAAAATTAAAATGAAAACTGAAAACATAAAAAGAAAATCGAATTCAAAATATGAACAAACTCTATAATAGTATATCAGTGATGCTAAAATAACACTTATCTATGGAGATGTTTATTAACAGAAGCTGACTTTTGCTCTTTTCAAACGGTTTCAAACCTCCTCATACCTGCAGAAAAACCTTTCGGATGCAGGATTTTGTTTTCTCCGCGGTCCTGTGGACGACCTGAAAGAGAAACCCAAAGACGTTGGCATGTTTCTGTGAACATCACGAAGTGATTCTTCCGTTGATGTGTTTGTTCATTTACCGTCTCGGATGTGCTCCACGTCGTCAAGCACGGCGAGCGCTCCTTTCTCGTAGGCGCTGATGGAGTCGCTGTAGTTGTATGGGTTGTATTCGCGAGCCCACGGGCTGCTGAACGATCGAGGAGACGGTGTGTTTAATAATGATGTCTTGTTGTCCAGCGCTGTCCGGCCTCCTTCCATCACACCAGCGGACAGACGAGGATCCACACCGGTCTGAAAGAGAAACCTGCTTATTTAGCTTCAACCTTGTGTCTGGCTATAACATCTATTAATCAGAAGAAGTAAAACACTCTATTGTGACATCATTCATATCCATTCTGGTAATATATTAGCAAATGGCTGCAATATAACAGAGCGAAAAATTGAAGGGGGTCTGAATACTTTCCGTACCCACTGTATATATATTATAAGATTAATCAGTTTGAGGGCAGAAGAAAGAAGTCAGCAAGGCAGCATTTATTTGATCAAAAATACAGTAAAAATATGAAAAATTATTTCAATTTAAAACAGCTGTTTTCTCTGTGAATATATATGTTAAAATGTAATTTTTGATCAAAAGCTGAATTTTCAGCATCATTACTCCAGTCTTCAGTGTCACATGATCTTCAGAAAGCATTATAATTTGCTGATTTGCTGCTCGAGAAACATTTCTGATTATTATCAATGTTGAAAACAGTTGTGCTGCCCAATATTTTTGTGGAAACTGTGATACATTTTATTTTTCAGGATTCTTTGATAAATAGAAAGTTCAAAAGAACAGCATTTATTTGGAATAGAAATCTTTCCTAATATTATCAATGTCTTTACTGTCACTTTTGATCAATTCAATGCATAAAATAAAATGAATAAAAGTATTAATAAAAAAAAAACTTAATATTACTCTAATATCTATTAAAATGTAAACAACCTGGCCATTTGAAAAAAAAAGCAATTATATTAAATGTATATGAAGATATTAAGCTTCATATACATTTAATGTAATTGCTATTTTCAAATGGTCAGGTTGTTTACATTTTGAAAGTTGCTGGAGTTATTGTTGATCACAGGCTACAAGTTGCTTAATATTTAGCATTTTGAGGCCTCAATCTTCTATTTCAGATGAAAATTTGAAAAGCTTTGCAGCTTAAAAAATCCGTGCAGACCTTCTTGTTTGATTAGTTTGGCTCAACCTGAAGCAACATCTTGAAAACGGTCTTGCAGGTGGAGGTACTCACCGTATCTTCCCTCTTGCCGTCATGTTTGATGGGCTCGAGTATGTCTTCCTGACTGCGGAAACTGAAGCTCTGGATGGCTTCGGTTACACCTCTCAACGAGCTGAAGATCTCCTCTGAGTTCATGTTCTCGGTGTTGCACTCCAGCATACTGCACACACACACACACACACACACAGAGTGAGGCGTGACTCCATAATATGCATTGACTTTAACATACAACACAAGGCGGACAGACGACACACAGATGTGATGAATGCATCAACTGCTCAGCTGCAAAGACAAAGTCACACATCTTAAACATTTCATACAGACAGATTAACACTCGACAAACCTTTGCATTTGCCACGAAGCAAAAAGTGGTTGGAACAACAGAAATCAGATGAATGAGAGACAGAAAGACGTAACAAAAGTAATGAAAATGTAAGACTTCTCACGCTGAGACAAATACAAAGAGAATGCAGTTTGACCAAAATATAAGGTTTGCACATTTGCTAAAATTTCTAGGATTTAAAAAAAAAAAACTTTCAAGGCAAGACAATACAGGTGAAAAGTGTAAAATATACTTTCCCCAGATGATTATTCACAGCACATTAAGACAGTTTTTGTGTTTTACAAGTTTTCTTGAAATGTTATGTTTAAATATGCAGGTAAGGAATTATGTAATTAAATGTGTACTAATTTGCATACATTTCCAGAACATTAATCTGAACTTTGGATAAAGCCAGGTTCAAAATTAGTTTTTATTTTGTTGACATATTAAAGATTTTTATTTTTACAGAGGAGATTTTGGATTTCTCTTTTTATCACTCCAAAAATCAGAAAATACTGTCAACAAACAGAAATAAGAAAATACCACGTTTTTATGAAAAATATGTTGTATAAAACCAGGTAAATCACATATGAACAAACCCCTCAGTAAAAACCTTCAGAATATAGACAGGAATAAAACGGTTAAGTTTGGTGTTTGTAAGTGCTGCTGAAGTGGAGAAACAAACTCACGGCCTTTAAAGATATGCACTTTTGCCATGTTTTTAGGAAGAAAATGTTCTAGAAATAAGTCTGAATGATATATGAACAAACTCCTCAGAAAAAAAACCTTCAGAATAGGAATAAAACTGTAAATTTTGGTGTATGTAAGTGCTGCTGAACTGGAGAAAAAAACTTTTAAAGATATGGATTGTAATTGAAATCTACAGACGCAAATAGATTAAGCGCAATAATAATCTCATGTGAATGATATATGAACAAACCCCTCACTAAAAAACCTTCAGAATATAGACAGGAATAAAACTGTAAATTTTGGTGTATTTAAGTGCTGCTGAAGTGGAGAAAAAACTTTTTAAACATATGTACTAGAATTGAAATCTACAGACGCTAATAGATAAAGAGCAATACAACTCAAACTTAAATGTATATTTTGGATATGGTGTATGTAAGCACTGATGAAGTGGAGATAAAAACTCTTTAATGATATCTTTTGTAATTGAAATCTACAGACGCAAATACATAAAAATGCAATAATTAACTCAGGTGAATGACATATGAACAAACCCCTCAGTAAAAACCTTCAGAATATAGATAAGAATAAAACTGCTAAGTTTGGTGTATGTAAGCACTGATGAAGTGGAGATAAAAAACTTTTAAAGATATGGATTGTAATTGAAATCTACAGACGCAAATAGATTAAGTGCAATAATAATCTCATGTGAATGATATATGAACAAACCCCTCAGTAAAAACCTTCAGAATATAGACAGGAATAAAACTGTACGTTCTGGTGTATGTAAGTGCTGCTGATGTGCAGGAGTAAATTTTTAAAGATATGTATTGTAACTGAAATCTACAGACGCAAATATATAAAAATTCAATAATTAACCCAGGTGAATGACATATGAACAAACCCCTCAGTAAAAACCTTCAGAATATAGACAGGAATAAAACTGTACGTTCTGGTGTATGTAAGTGCTGCTGATGTGCAGGAGTAAATTTTTAAAGATATGTATTGTAACTGAAATCTACAGACGCAAATATATAAAAATTCAATAATTAACCCAGGTGAATGACATATGAACAAACCCCTCAGTAAAAACCTTCAGAATATAGACAGGAATAAAACTGTAAGTTTTGGTGTATGTAAGTGCTGCTGATGTGCAGGAGTAAATTTTTAAAGATATGTATTGTAACTGAAATCTACAGACACAAATACAATTTTAATAAAATTAACACTAAAAGGTGTATTTTGGATGTTTTCTTTCCTCTAGTTTGAAATAAGACATGTTATGGAAGCAAAATAGCAAAATTGATCAGTGCATGAAAAAGATGACTGGGTTTGCCTGTAGTGTTTTGCCTTAAAAGGAAAATTCCGGGTCCATTTAAACCCAAAACATTTCTTTAAATGTCATGCATTGACTTTAAATTGATTAGACTACCAATGAAAAACCAATAATTGTGCAGGAAATTCCTGCTCTTATGTGTTAGCATCCTGACGTCCGGGCCGAGGTGTGTTACCTGGGCGAATACGCCCTCCGGTAGGTCCAGAGAGGGGGGGTGGCAGGGCCGGGGTGGGGAGGAGGGAGGTTAGAAGAAGGCTTTGAGCTCCGGCCAAACAAACGACTGAGCCGAGAGGAAGAGGAGGATGAAGAGAGAGCAGGGAGGTGTAGAAACAAAGAGGAGGAAGAGAGGAAGAAAAGAGGAAACAGTGAAAGATGCTAGTTCTCAAACTACCATATCCTGACTAAACACGACGCCATCAAACAATACATCACGTCTTGCAAGTTTAAGAGAGTTTTGGTCCAAACCAGCTGTGAGCACAAAGAGATGCTTCTGTTTTTATGCATAGTGCTGGGAAACTCCGCCCACAAATAATTAACTCAGGTGAATGATACATGAACAAACCCCTCAGTAAAAACCTTCAGAATATAGATATGAATAAAACTGTAAATTTGGGTGTATTTAAGTGCTGCTGAAGTGGAGAAAAAACGTTTATAGATATGTACTGTAATTGAAATCTACAGACACAAATACATAAAATGCAATAATTAACTCAGGTGAATGATACATGAACAAACCCCTCAGTAAAAACCTTCAGAATATAGACAGGAATAAAACTGTAAGTTTTGGTGTATGTAAGTGCTGCTGATGTGCAGGAGTAAATTTTTAAAGATATGTATTGTAACTGAAATCTACAGACACAAATACAATTTTAATAAAATTAACACTAAAAGGTGTATTTTGGATGTTTTCTTTCCTCTAGTTTGAAATAAGACATGTTATGGAAGCAAAATAGCAAAATTGATCAGTGCATGAAAAAGATGACTGGGTTTGCCTGTAGTGTTTTGCCTTAAAAGGAAAATTCCGGGTCCATTTAAACCCAAAACATTTCTTTAAATGTCATGCATTGACTTTAAATTGATTAGACTACCAATGAAAAACCAATAATTGTGCAGGAAATTCCTGCTCTTATGTGTTAGCATCCTGACGTCCGGGCCGAGGTGTGTTACCTGGGCGAATACGCCCTCCGGTAGGTCCAGAGAGGGGGGGTGGCAGGGCCGGGGTGGGGAGGAGGGAGGTTAGAAGAAGGCTTTGAGCTCCGGCCAAACAAACGACTGAGCCGAGAGGAAGAGGAGGATGAAGAGAGAGCAGGGAGGTGTAGAAACAAAGAGGAGGAAGAGAGGAAGAAAAGAGGAAACAGTGAAAGATGCTAGTTTTCAAACTACCATATCCTGACTAAACACGACGCCATCAAACAATACATCACGTGTTGCAAGTTTAAGTGAGTTTTGGTCCAAACCAGCTGTGAGCACAAAGAGATGCTTCTGTTTTTATGCATAGTGCTGGGAAACTCCGCCCACAATGAAACCTGATTGGTCCACAAGTCTGTATATTAAACAGTAAATGTTAATATCGTTAAATAAACTAAAACCATAAAAAATAAAATAAGCATGAACTAAAAAAAATATTTCAGTTAACTGCCACGGCAACATTTCTCATTTTCATTTAGTTTAAGTTAAAGAACTAAAATCACAAATACTAAAAACTTAATAGAAACTATACAGACATATAAAAAAAAACTAATAAAAATGACAAAAACACACAACAAAATCACTAAAACTTCACCTAAAATAAAATGAAACAGATAATCTAAAAATAAAATTTAATTCAAAATATTAACAAAAATTTCAACAGTAAGATATATCAATGATACTAAAATAACACTGATTCTGAATGGTTGAGATTTTGTCACTTCAGGCAGCATTTTGAGGCATTGAAACATAAAATTTAAAGAATAATTCCGAAAAATAATTATTAAAAGAAATAACAAATAAACACCCTTCACACATCTGAGTTGCTGAAGAAATTACAGTCACTGTTGTTGCTCATTTCAGCCAAAATTTTATTATTTAACAAAATGTACTGTATTAGGAACAAGTGTTGAATTACATTTTCCTTTCAATAACAAAAAAGTGGAAAAACGAAAAATATCGCTTATCATGGCTGGTCAAAACAAAAATTATCGTATTGCGTCACAACAAAAACAGAGACATTTACAATCTGCAACATAAGATGCAACACCCTTTGAAATGCCAAAACAGAGCAATATTAGTAATATAACATGGATTTAATGTCATTTCATGATGTGCATTTAGTGCAGAAGCTGTTTGTTAGTTCATGCAGAAATGAAAAACATCCTAAAAAACAAATCTAAATAGCATCAACATTTATTTGCCTTCAGAGAGTTTGAAAATGAGTGAAACATGACTGTTCATTCATTTTGGTTATTAAACTAAAGCGTGTAAAACCATGTTCAAAGATGGGTTACTGATGAGGACAGGATCACTAGAGCAAATGTTTGTCTTTTGAAGCAAAAGACCATTAGAAAGTCTATGATTCGAGTTACGACCAGGACCACATGAAATCTGCATTTTCGGTGTCAGTTTGTGTTGTATTGAAATAAATGTTGTAATTACATTGAATTAAACATGATTGAATGTGTTCAATTTAGCCGAGAATATGACATTCTTAATATAAAACAATATATATATTTTTTTAATTATAATTAATATTTAAATTATTTAATTAAAATATTTGTACAAATATTTAATACATATTTTAGGTGATCTGTAACAGGGTTATTACTGTTAACTAAAATTAAAACCATAAAAAATTATTTTGTTGCTTTAAATAAAATAAAAGTTACCTGAAATTAAAAAAAATAAAAATAAGGTAAACTAATTTTATTTCATTCTCTTTTACTTCAAGCAATAGTTACACTTTAAGTTTAGTTTAAAATATCTGAAACATATTTTAGGTGATGTGTAGCAGGGTTATTACTGTTAACTAAAATTAAAACCATAAAAAACATTTTTTGTTGCTTTAAATAAAATAACAGTTACCTGAAATAAAAAAAGGTAAACTTATTTTATTTCATTCTCTTTTACTTTAAGCAATAGTTACACTTTAAATTTAGTTTAAAATATCTGAAATTAAATAAACTAAAACTAATAAATCAAATTAATAAACGCTATATAGACATTTTTGAAAAAAAAAAAGAATAAAAATGACAAAAACAGTACAATTAACTAACTAAAATTAAAATGAAAACAATACACATAAAACTACCTGAGAGTATTATATTCTTCACATAAAATATGTATTATTATTTAATAATTAATAATAATAATAAATAAATAAAGTAATAACAGTAATATTTAAAATAATACATTATTATTATTTTTATTTTATTATTTATTTATCATTAATATGCTCATTTTTTTAAAATAAATAAACTATTGTTTCTGCAGTCTCAGATTCCATGTAGTCCTGATCATGTCCCACAGCTTCACAGATGGTTGTTTTGAGGTGGTGTACCTGGGTGACAGTCCCCCGTGTGAGCCGTTAGTGGGTGAGGTCAGCGGGCTGCTGCGGGTCACCGGGTGTCGTGGAGGGGTGCGTCCCACAATGCTGCTGCCGCTGGGAGACGCCTGAGACTGAACAAACGACACAGACGTTTGAGCGAGCAGCACACTGTAACATTCAGTGACAGACAGGGGCATGTTTAGAGTAGGGCTGTCAAAAAAAAAATCGAATTTCGAATTTAAAATAAAAATCCACATTCGAATACAAAAACGTTACATTCGAATTTTAGGTGTGCGTGAGGCAGCCTTATCAGTGGCACACAAGATGCGATTACGATGTAGGTGTCGTTGTATTTTAATGTGTTTTTTTAGCCTATCCAGTTGAAGCCACTGGATGCGCGGCTCTGCTACATTGTTCATTCAAAATATTGTGGAAAAGATCTTGTTTACGTCAAAACTGAAACCAAGCCGTTCACACAGAACGCATATTTATCGCATTTTCTATAGGGACATCTATCACCGTTGCACTCGCGTCTCGCACAAGAGAGCATTTTGTCTAGATGTTTAGAAAGCCATGTACATTTAATGTAAGTTCAACTTTTAAAAAAACATGTCTCAAGACTTTATGGAGGTTTTTCTGCATCCCACTGCATCTCGTGTTTTTAAATGAAGAAAGTTCTCTTTGTGATTGGTTTTTGGTCCTTTGTATTATACATGATGCTGTTTTGATTCTAACTGTTTAAGCAACTTAATTAATTATATATGGTTCATAAACATTATTTTAAATATGAAGCACTTTTTTCAAAGATAGCCGTGTTATTTTATTGCTTTGAATAAACGTGCATTAGTAATTTTTTGCTCGATGCGCCCTCTTGTGGCCTCAGGAGAGAAGCCAAAAGCTTTTTTTCCCCATAACTGAAATTATGCTTTAAATTCGAATATAATTCAAATATTGATAATATTTAAGTACAAAATTCTAATTTGTTTTTTTCAGCCATTTTGACAGCCCTAGTTTAGAGTTTTGTGGGCCCTAAGCAAACAGTCCCTGGGGACCCCCGCGGTAGAAATCACGTTCCAGGGTATAGCCATAACCAAGTTTTGACAATTAGTGAGGTCTGGGGTGGGGTGTTAAGAATTGTGCTATAATAACACCTACAAATACAACCCATTATATACATACAAACTTTAAAAGAGACAGACATGTAGATGTTTGTAAAAGATGTTTTCTCTGTTTTAGGGGGAAGGACACTGTTAATAAGACCTTGTTTACTGCATTAAAATTTGTTAATGCTTTTCTATTGGGGTGGATAATTTTATTACTTGTTTATTATTCATACAATAATACAGTAATAGTTTTCATCAGTAATCAATGCTATATGATAGGAACTTTGCCTAGTGCTCTTATGAATGTTTTAGCATGACTTTGTGAAAGGTTAACTACTAAAACTGAATGAAATAGCAAATTCTTTCAAACTGCAGTTGGGTTATTTTGATTAGGTAAAAAAAATACAGCTAACACAATAAAACACAATAAAAACATGATAACATCATAAAAAACATGATTTTTTGAAAATTAAAAAAAACTGAGTTATATGTTTTTGGAAATAAACTCTTCATATACTGTTATGGTTTTATTGATATTTTAAATTAGATTTTATTCGTTTTTTTATATCATCAGTTTTAATTTTAGTTTCATGTTTAGTAATGTTATGTAATTTTTGTTTTTTAAATAATACTTTTTATGTTTCCCTTATTTTCATTTTTATTACAGTTTAAATTGCATTTTTATTTTTAAATGTTGTTATGTTATTTCTTATTAGTTTGTGTTTTTAAAATAATAAAATTAAAAAAATATTTTTTTTATTTATTTGCAGTTAAAATTTTACTAATTTTATGTCATGTAATTTTGATTAGTTTTTGTTTTTTTAAATAATAATATTTATGTTTAATTTATTTTTATCTATATCCAATTAAATTTTTGGTAACTTTGTTATGTAATTTCTTAGCTTTTTTTAATAGCACTATTAAGGTTTTCTTTTTTATTTATTTTCAGTGGAATTTTAAATAATTCTGTTTGTAATATTTAATAGTTTTTGTTTTTATAAATAATACTATATGGGTTTTATTTTATTTTTTTATTTATATCCAGTAAAATTTGAGTAATTTATGTAATATTTGTTAGTTTTTTTAAGTAATATAATTTATGTTTATTTATTTCCAGTTAAAAGATTAGTAATTTTGTTATGTCATTTTTTTTTTGTTATTAGTTTTTGTGTTTTAAAATAATACTGTTTGGGTTTAATTTATTTGTATTGATTTCAAGTTAAAATTGTAGTAGTTTTATGTCATGTTATGTTTATTAGTTTTTTTTTTTTATAATTCTATTTAGATTTAATTTATTTTTATTTATCTCCAGTTAAATTTTAGTAATTTTTGTTATTTTTGTTTTTTTTAAGTGATACATTTATGTAAATTTTTTTTATTTATTTCTAGTTCAAAGTTTAGCAATTTTGTTGTCATATTTTTTAAGTAACACTATTTAGGTTTTTATTTATGAATGGACAAAATGTCTGTCCCTCACATCCCTGTTTTTTTTTAATTCATGCCAAAATAAATACATCATCTGCACTGCCGAAGTTCAAAGGTCATTCAAGTGCTTCAGAAGGTGTTAGTGGCTCAGAAAGGAGGAAAGACGGTTATCAGCTGCCATGCTGAACATCAGATCAAAACCCTCCAGACAGCAGCAGTGTTAGACAAGCCCGTCGTGACCTCCGCAGGCAGTCAGGAGGTCAAAGGTCAAGGGTCACTACCTGCTTACATCTCTCCTCCAGGTTACTTTCCCCCGGCAGGGAGGCCACAGTGGAGCTCCTGCCCGACGCCTCCTCATTCAGCCAGATATGAAGCGTCTGAGACACACCACAGCTCACTTTGACAAACCCAACTTCAGCCAGAGCATCACAGAAAAGAAGAAGAAAAAACACACTGACCTTCCTGACGTCTGAGCTCTTCGGCTCTGTGGTCCACGTGATGATTCGAGAGACGGCTAACCGTGTCTCGCTGGAGTTCACGAAGTCTGACGGATCCATCTGTCTGGCCAAAGACTCGATGTACTTCAGGATGGCCACCTTCACCTGCTCACACACACCTGACGGATCCATCTGTCTGGACAAAGACTCGATGTACTTCAGGATGGCCACCTTCACCTGCTCACACACACCCACACACACCCACACACACACACGCACACACACACACGCACGAACACACATGCACGCACACGCGCGCACGCACACACACACACACACACACACACACACACACAGATTCTCAAGCACACAGGTTGGAAGAGTCATACAAGGCCCATTGAAGTAGAAAACCATAGTGTTCATCCAGACTTTTAAAAGCGTAATATAAACATTCAATGTGCTGTGTAGACTCTATACAAATCTGCCCCCACAATCCACCCAGAACATTGAAACGCTACTTGAAAGCAAAAATTCTGTGAGATGTAACCTAATCAAAGCCAGTAAGAACATATTTAGGAGGTTAATTATTCATGTGGAGTGGAATTTTAACACTCAGTACGTTTACATGGACAACAATACTCCGATTTTAATACGATTAAGACAATACTCTGATTAAAGGGG